TTTGGATGAAATATCCCAACTGTAAGCTTAGATTTAAGCACATGTTGTTAAAAATTGAATGTTTTTTTTCTGTTTTTACAGTTTCTAGCTCTGATAAATAGTGTGTCTTTGTCAATTTTTTATTTTTTACTTTTATAGATATTGTGCCTTTCAAACACATCTGTGGTTTTGGGGCTTCAGAGGTTTAACAATAGAACCAGAGCTAAAAATGCAGACTTAAAATCAATTGGAACAAGTTACTTAAACCTACTACTTGACTGATATGCACACAGTATTATATCTGAAATAAAACATGGTGACGACTTTGTGTTGTACCGTCACACAGCTTGGTGATGCTGTTGAAGCTGAAGCCAGTTTTGCACTCGCAGCGGTACGATCCCAGCAGGTTGACGCAGCCGTGGTCGCCACAGACGTTGCCCGTACGACACTCGTCCACATCTGCAAGCGGACAGATCAAGGGGATAAACATCTTTTTAGTTAAACAACAGACTTTAAAAAAAACAGAATCCACTGTGAGTGCACCTGCCTTCACAGCGGCTGCCGTCCTCGGTCAGGTGGTATCCTCGTCCGCAGGTGACCGTGTTGCTGCGACACGTGTACGATCCCACTGAGTTGATACAAGTCTGTCCAGGCTGGCAGGGGTTGGTGTGGACCACACACTCGTTGATGTCTAATTAGAAAAAGAAACTCCCTCAGCTAAAGAATTCATATTTTGTTTTCACTTGAGTGCGACTCTGAACTCACCGATACAGCTGCCGACGGCGTCCTGAATATAACCGTCTCCACATTTTTCCTTCGGCTTGCAGCGGAAGGAGCCTTCGGTGTTGGTGCAAACAAAGTCAGCTCCACAGTTATGGGTCCCCAAAGCACATTCATCAATGTCTGCAACAGGAAAGGAAGAAACCATGCAATTTTCTTACATACCGTAAACTATAGATGTCTTTTTATTTCATCAAGAAACTAGCACTGCAGGATTATAAAACACTTTGTTGTTATGGCAGTTACAGTCATTTTATTTTTTTAATTGTTTGTGTTCTTGACTTGTTACCTTGGCAGACGTTGTGGTCTGTGAGTTCATACCCAGTGCCACAGCTCGTTTCCCTCTGACAGCGGAACGAACCTTCGGTGTTAATGCAAACTTGCCCAGAGATGCAGTTGTGACTGTTGGTCAGACACTCATTAACGTCTAACGAAACAGACAAAACAAGAAAAATCAGTTTATTAAAGCCTTTTAAGTGGTAATGTTAAGCAGGTAAAATATTCACCATTTTCTCAATTTCAACATAGCAAAGAAACATGTACACAAAGAGGAAAATTCATGCAATAATACACTTGCTTTGAAAACCAGGAGAGAACATATTGACTGATCGATAAATTAGGGATGCATGATATATCAGTGACCACATCGGTATCGGCCAATGTTAGTGTTTTTTCCGGTGTGAACACATTTGAAAAACCGATGATTGTCTAACATTAGTGCCTTCGTCTCTACATTTGATATTGCTGCTATTTCACAGATGTTTTTACTTAAATGGTTCTGGACTTGAACATTAAATATGTTAAAACAGAAAGAAGACTATGTGGTCTAATTTGGGCTTCGTTTGATTAGTTTTCACGTTCTCACAGTGCTTACTCATTTTTTGGTGTGAACAAAAATTGAATATCCACATCGGTAATATCAGTTATCGGCGATATCAGAAATCTTAATATCAGATATCGGTATCGGCCAGAAATTTTAATATCGTGCCTCGCTAGTTTAAATGTTGTCTGTTATGTACTTGTAAGAAAACTTTCTATTTACACTGTTTTTTTTGTTTTTTAATATAATGTAGGAAAAGATGCTTGGGATAATATAGAAACAGTGTCACCACATTGTTTTTCCATTTTTATTTGTTGCAACACTATCACCACCTTCTGCAGCGCATGTAGTCGAGTATGCATCGCAGCTGAACAGACAGTGGTGCGGAGTCAAACGGTGTCTTCGCAGAAGGCTGCCAACTAGTTTTTTGAACACATTTCTAAAGTTAATAAACAATGACCCCAGTTTCTTCCTTTTCCAATATCAATCTAACATGCAGTTTGTACATACAGACTGGTGACAAATTAAAGGAAAAACCTGAATGCTTAAGTCCTACAGCTTGGTTACACTGACGGGGGAATTTTACTGGTATAGTCTGGGTCCACTTGTCTCGCTAGAGGGAAAAGTCAATGAAAATCAATACAGAGCTGTTCTGAGTGACCACGTTTATCCTATAATTAAGCATTTCTATCCTGAGAGTCTCTTCTTGGAAGACAATGCCCCCATTGAAACACCAAAAGAGGAAATATATATTGGAAGAATGCTGTTTCACCCCATATAGTAGAGTTTCAGAAACTTAGAATAGAAGAATAGAATAGAACTTTATTGATCCCTTTGGTGGAAACCTCAGGGAAATTGTTGGTCTTATGAAGACTAGACTTATGAATTAATGCGAAGAAGCATTGAAGCTGTTGGAAGGTGGTGGTCCAACACCTTAATATGATGGTTGGTTTTTCCTTAAAAATGACTTATGATGTCTTGATATTGACATTTTTACTCCCAAAATATCTGGTATTGTGGGGTTCTAGAAGATAAAAACCCAGTTTGTTGAACTCAGACCTGCTTCAGTCATGCATTTATGCACCAAACATGGAACATTAATTGCTCTTCCATTACTTCCATCCCTGAAGGTTTTCTTCAACGCCAGTCCAATAAGCAACTAATAAGACTTTCAGATTTAGTAATTACAATTCATCATGGAGGAGATATCATGTGAAGTTTCATCAGCCCCTAGTTTTGACCGTCTAACAGAATCATGCAGCCGCTATAGCCTCCCTTAACATGTAGGTGTTTCTGTGGTTTCACTTCCTTGACTCACCCTCACAGCTGACTCCATCCTGACGCAGCTGAAAGCCATCATGGCAGCCACATTTCCCGTCACCGACACACAACTGGGAGCAGTTGGAGTCTGAAAGCAGCACAGAGGCGCACAAAGAATCAGACATCACAGTGTGCAATGTGTGTCCTGGATCTACGGAAACAGATAATTGGCTGACGGAGGACAAAACCCGCCAAACAGCTGCTGTTTAAGCTTCTTACAAGACTTGTTATAATGAGGAAGATCACATTAGGAAATTAAGGCGACAAACCTCTGCAGGTGTTTGTTCTCTCTGGAGGCTTCGTCGTCGTCACTTCAGGCTTTTCCGTCGCTAGAAAAATTGAAATGAAAAACAGAAAAGCTTCTTTATAAGCAGTGGGAGTGGATTTTCCATTATTGTGGTCTGTTACATTTAGATCTGCTGTGAGCGGTTTTCCCGCATGTTTGTGTTTTTCACCTGAAGTTCACACGGTGACAAAAGCTACAAGCCACAACAATTTGCCAGTTGTCCCTGAGTCGCCATTTGGTTTGGTGTCTGCAGATTATCCTGTTGAGTGACCTGGTTTGTGATCTGTCTGACTGGAAGCCAATCTGCTCCACAGACGTCACACCAAGGACGTTTATCTGACACTTCCAGGGAAACAGCGCTGCTCTGATTGAGAAGTTACTTCAACAAAGATGGGATGTGAAAACCTCAATCGTTATCAAGGTTTTAGTCAAAGTACTATCGAGGTACTCCTTAGATTAGTTAATAGAGTGAGAAGAAGTTATGTAAAAGTACCAATAAAGGAATATAAAAGTACTCCAGTACAAGTAATGTCCTGCATGAATAGGTAAAGGTCCTGGTTTGAGTCATTTGACTGATGAATTATTATATATGACATCATTAAATCATTAATACTGAAGCATCAGTGTGTCAGCATGTTGCTCTGATATATGATTCACAAATCTGTTCCCACTTTTTCTTCAATCCTTGATTTTGTTACAACATTTAAGCCCTTTACATGAGGAGTATTAGCAGAAAGTGCATCTGTGCTCAAAGACATTTGGCACCTAAAGTGTGCAAATGGTCGACTGCATTGATTGTTTCCAGTGCAGCAGCGATTCTAACACACAGAGTGGAGCTCATCAAGACACAAAGAGCCGAGAACACAACGCTGTTTAGGGGTTTCACCTGCAGCAGTCGGTTTGCTTTCATGCGTTGTGCTGTTGCCGCAGCAGACTTTGGCTGCGTAGCTGCACTGGCGAGGCAGCGACAGACCGTGAAGCTCGCAGCTCAAACCACGACTGGCCGCCGTCAGGCCGAGCTCACAGCAGTCGCAACACATCTAAACAGGAGGAAGAGTAAGAAAGGCATCCGATGAAGCAAAAACAAAAACAAAAACTGTTTTACACTGTGATAAAGTTTGTTTTTTAAAAGTTGTTTTTACAGACTTCCCCTGGTTTCTTAAATAACAAATAACACTGTATATGTGTGAGAGGAAGGTGTTTAAAAGTTAACAATGTTGACATGAGGAAAGAGATCCACCTTTGAGATTTTGGTCTCCCAGGGGTCTCCGTGGAAAAAAGGCCTCTCGCAGGCTCCCTGCTCTTTGCCCATCTTGATGCCGCTGTTACAGAGTTTGTCTCGTATGACTGAGCGACAGCACTGCTCCTGGACAATGCTGGGAAGAAAGGGAACACATGTAGCATGAAACCTCATCCAGAATAGAAACTGAACTTCTCACTCTGAGAAGATAAGAAGCAAGTGAAGAAAAGTTCGCTGCTTGCATTAGATACAGCAGAACATGAGCGGATTTATGCTGTAATACTTTACATATTTACTCAGTCACCTGCTTTTGACTTCGAGGAAAACGCTGTACCACTGCCACTAAAACACTTTTCTGAAGCATTTTTGTTTAAAAATGTTTCCTTTAACTCTTTTCAGCAACTGCTTCCTTTCCTGACCTCAGAGTGATGACCAGGTGTTCCTTCATTTCATCAATCACCACCACTGTGTTCTTACAGTCAAACTGGGCCCGTTAGTGTTAAAAATGCTCCAGGGGGCCACACTTAACACCTACTATGTAGTTATTATGGGGCCTTCCTCCCCTGCTTGCAGCCTGTAGCCCCTCGGGGGTATTTTTTAACCTTTAAAGATACCATTGCATACCCTGGCTTTACAGGTCATCTCTTCAAATTCCATACTTTCATATGGACATTTGCACTGAACACCTGTATTTTTGTTGTAGGACATGAGTTTTAAAACATTAATATAAGTGAAGTGACACTTGTAACCCTCCCGGTAACTGGGCCCCACTTTGAGAAGGGAGAAACCAGCTGTTTCCTACCTGCAGATGTGGGTTGGAACGAATGGGAGGATTCCACAGTCATGTCCTTCCAGTGCTCGGGCCCTCCCATCCAGACAGCACTTTTGTATAGAAGGAGGCTTGGTTTCTTTAATGTGGAGATGATGGCATGGTTATTATGGATGAAAATCTGAGACATTTAAGTCAAAATGAGCAACTTTTTCAGCCCCTTGAGGTTAGGTGACAATACTCTCAAAATAACACTCGTGCGTAATTTCAATCACAAACAGGCTCCAAATGCGTAAAAATTGCGCACCGGAGTGCCAAACTTCAGCTGCATTCTTACCGTCTGCACGCAGAATTTCGTAAAGAGAGAACAAAAGTATAATCCGCTTCGCCATCCGACTCGATCTGAGCTGCATATTTCCTCTTTGAATGGTCCAAACTTGACTTCTTCAGATGTCTGAAGACTGCAAATGCCGGTGTGCGTCTCCTGCGTCAAAGTGGCTCCGCCTCGCCGGAGAAAACGAAGCATCAGAGGAGACGCACATCTTGGTTTGGTTTGGGGGCGGGGTGGAAGAAGCCTGGTCTCACTGTCAGAGGCTCCCACTGATTAAAACACGGCCGATAATGCGATTTATTTAATGTGCAGACGATATGAAGCCAAAGTGCGCGCTGTTGTCTGGAAGATAAATGAACCACGGTGACATTTAAGGCATCACCTCTAGTGGAACTGTAGGGTATTTTCTCCTATTTAAAATAAAATAAATTAACAATAATAAAAAGTTTAGATCCACTATATTCAAAATGCAGGCCGCACAGAAGAAACGCAACACTCAAAAAGTCAACACACCTTTCATTTGTGAGATTTAAATCTATTTTCAACATTTTTTGTGTAACTTGCAGGATACCAAACATCCAGTGAGGTGTTTTGCTAATCTTCAGACTATTTTTCAGCTGCTCCTAGCTGGAGGGGTTGTGTTGCTTTGCCCTTCTCTTTCAAACAACCCAAAGCTGTTCTGTTGGATTCAAGTCAGGAGACATACTTGGCCAAGTCACAGTTTCTCCTGCGTGATTTTGGCAGTGGGCATTGGATCTTTTTAAAACAGGAATATTCCTCTTCTAAGAGTAAGATTCTGCAGACTGGGAGTCATCTAGTTGGGGTATCGACAGACAGTCATGGTGCATCTATAAAAGTCACCTTTTTTCACTCAGGTAGCCCCAAATCATCATAATGCCACCTCCGTGCTTCACTGTCAGGTCGACACTGTGGTAGCCCTGACCAGGTTCAACATGCTGGACTCCATTTGGGATCAATACATTTATCTTGGTCTCATCTCAGAAAATAATATACTTATTTAATTCATATTACTCCTTTAAGAAGCTACAGGTAGCACAGGTAGCACTGTGGCCTTGCAGGAAGAAGGTTGCCGGTTCGAGTCCCGGTGGGGGCACCGGAATCTTTCTGCGTGGAGTTTGCATGTTCTCCCCGTGCAGCGTGGGTTCTCTCCGGGTTCTCCGGCTTCCTGGTGACCTGTCCAGGGTATCCCCTGCCTTCACCCTAAGTCAGCTGGGATAGACTCCAGCCCCCCATGACCCTAGTGAGGATTAGGGGTGTATAGATGATGGATGGATGGAAGAAGCTTATCATCATATTCATCATCATAAGGTATATAATTCAAAACTGAGTATCTGTTTTAGTGTTATGTTTGATTGTTTGAAGATCACCAGTAACAAGTAAATTTGAGTAATTCATACATTTCCTGATATAATTTCACCTTAATTTTTACTTTGTGACTTGATCCATTATCTATACACCGCTTTATCCTCTGTAGCTGACTGAGGATGATGGCAGGATACACCTGGGCAGGTCTTGCCACAACAAAATGAATCAAAAACAAACAAATACCCTGAATGAACCAAGAAAATAGTTTCTTTAAAAGCATATAATGAGAGCAAAGCACACGTCACGTTTACATGTAATCCTGTTTATTACAAATATTGTAAATTCAGGTATTTTTTCTGCTCACCACCGTAGAGAGTAATTCTAGAGTAAATGTACAGGTTTTGTTCTCGATTAGTATTAAAGTGACAACATGGGAGAAAATATCGATGTCTGTGGTGTCAGTTCTTTACATCTTAAGAGAGCTGATGTCAACAATTTATCTGATTTCTTGCCTTTCTCAATACTTCGGTGAGAACAATGAAGTTTTCACCACGCGATTATGACGCAGAGGAGCAAAGACACGCTTTGGAAAACAGAGGCTGACGAGAAAGCGATTATCGAGTCTCTGAATTATCTGCGACTGATAACAGTAAGAGTCAATAAAATCTGAAGAGTTGCTCTCTTGATAGAAACAACAAGGCTGCTCCGTGATAAAACAGTGTTGGGATTCTGGCGACACAGAATAGAGGCAAACATCCAGTTTCGAATGTCCGTTTTGTTTTTTTTCCAAGGGATTGTTTAAGTTGCACTCGTATATATGTTCCTCCTGTACAGAAACTACAGCGGCCATATCTGTCAACTACAAAGCATTAATGACAGTCTAAAACAATAAAAAATAATACTATTGCAATAAAACATAATCTCTCTCTATGAGCCAAACGGCTAGGACAAGTGGGCAAAAAACATGATAACACAAATTTGGAGGCATTGTTATTTATATTAAGACATCTTGCATGCATTTCTAATCCAAAGTTCTTATTTTGACTGCAGCATTTGTGCTTTCAATTTGCAGGATTATTATATACAAGAGATAAGCAAGATAATTGATGATAACAGCAAAGGATATCTTCTGTGTGCTTCTCAGTGTCATCATCAAAGAAAATAACCTTATTTATGTTATAATAACAGTACAACCTCTTCTCAGCAAAAACACATAAAGAGCTTATTTACTCCCTTCGTTGTGCATCTACAGCAAAAACCACGACTACTCACTCCAGCAGGAACCCTAGTTTTTTTTTTCCTATTGCAAATAACAGTACAAAAATGATCTGATTGCAGCAAATGTCGGTCCCCACTGGGGCCACTTCTGTGGAAGACTGAGATCTTTTCTACAGTTTCTCTTCCGCTCTGTTTTCATCCATCTATCCCTCCTCCTCTTTGGCCGAGTCTGCAGGAGCTGATTTCTCCTCCTGAGTTTCAGGCGGATCTGCAGTCTTTTCTGTAGGCAGCTGAGGATTCTCCTTTTTCGGTGAGCTGCAGGTTTTACCGTCTTTTGTTTCGCTTGAAGCCACCCCGTCTTTTGTTTCAGCAGCTGGGCAGCTTTCCACCTGTTTAGGAGGAGAGATCTCGTCCTGCTTTACTTCCTCCTTTGCAGGAGGATTACCTCCATCTGCATCCGCTTTAACCGTCTCCTTTTCATTCGTTTCAGTCTGCTCTGTTTCCGTTTTTGCCTCCTCTGCCGGTGCCGTGGCTTCTTCCAGAGGAGCCAAGTCCTCTTCCACCGGAGGGATTCCTTCTCCCGCTGGACTTTGTGGCTTCTCGTCTTCCACGGGAGCCAGACCTTCCTCCATCATCTCTTCCTCCTCTTCGTCTATCTCGTCCTCTAGAGGAGGAATCATCTGTTCTTCCCTGCCTCCGGGGAACACCTTGTCTGGGTAGAGGAGCTTCAGCTGCTCCTCAAAATAGTCTTCCAGGTACAAGCCGGCGCTGCCAACCTCCGAGGTCGCCTGGCAGAGAGAGACATTGCAGTTAAAGATTTCATGGTGGAATGTGAGAGATGATGAATGTTGGTGTAGGAAGAGGCAGAAGGCCGACACGCATCAATTTGAGTTGGTCTTGAGATATCTATATACACAGTGTACCTTAACGGTTGATAGATAATCACTTCTGTTTTTACCAATTTGGCTGTTGCCCTTATTTTTTCACTAAATACTCCCCTTGTCCTTATTACAACCACTGTCACAGACTTGATGCTACTTATAAGTTAAATGTGCTTTTGAAGGAACGTCCTAGAAATCTGCCTGCCTCCTGTGGTCGCTCCAGAATTAAACAGTGAGAGTACTAATGGTGCTACAGCAAATCTGTAATATCTAAAGAGAAAAGTGTTATTGGGTACAGGTAGATACTAACCTTCATCCCTGGTATTTGTGTTAAAACTGTATCACATTGTTCACTTAATGTTCTTGTTTTGTTTGTTGCTATTATGCACTGTCAGGCATGGCAGGGTGGGACGGGGAAACGTTTTTGTGGTAAACTTATTTTTTGAAAAGGGATAAATTCTTAAAGTTGATGCCTACCTTGTAGTACTTTGCACAGTTGAAAAAAATGAGCCTGACATCTGTGACGAAGCTCTCGGGACTGTCATAGCATTCCCCCTCCTTTGACTTTGACTCCAGCTTCTTCTTCACTATCGACAAATCCATCGGCGTCTTTATTAGCTCTTTGTACCTTCTTGTCTCCTGCAGAAGAAGAATAGTAAAAGTTAGGTCATCTCTCAAAATGAACAACCATCTTCAAACTTGGTTTTTCTACAAAGATACAACTACAACTCAATGCATTGTTATTTAACACTCTGTCCGTCTATATTGACTAGATATTGAGGAAAGTGTCTTACTGATGGAGAAGCAGGCCCCTGGAAGTCAGTGCTGAAGTCATTACAGAACAGACGTAGAAGCAGCCTCTCACACGTCTACATTCAACACAAAAAAGAGAGAAAACATTCAATTAGACATCCAGGTGATTTTTTTTTCCACAAGAAGATGTTTCATTGGTTTGATTAAAAAAAAAAAAAAAAGAATGCAGGAAAACTTATTTCAAACTAAAGAAGGATCATATAAACAGAAGGACTGAAGTACTGAAAACCATAAAGCTGAGTGAGTTTACCCGTCTGTCAACAGGCGAGAACTTTTCAGAGACCGGAGCGTCTTTGCTGTCGCAGTCGTACTGCATCTCAGGAGAGACGAGGTCTCGGCAGAACGAACAGAACCACTCGCCACTGAGGAGAGACGAAAGGTCGGGAAAAGCTGTTAGAACATATGAAAAGACTGCACAATGTGGTTAAATTAGATTCAAACTGTACTGTCCCGTCTACTGAGAGGAGCCAAGCTATATATCTACATTGAGAGACACATGTCTGCTAGACTGCTGTACAATAACATCCAACATGTCTAACTATGACTACTCTACAACTCTTGTATTATGCTACATATCTTGATGCTGTAGCACATATATATGCAACATCCCATCATGAAAGTAGTTACATAAACATCCTTGGTTGGAAATATTTCACTGAATTTGTTAACTGTGTTTTCCACATGAACTGCTATTAAATTATAATGAAATGTGGCTTTTAATAATACTCATCTAATAGCTACAGTACGCTTTAGTTTGAAAATTAGTGAGTATACCATTGAAAAATACCATTTACATTATTGCTATATAGAATAAACTACAATACTTTAAGCCTCTGAACCCCAAAACCCACCTTTAGGTTTGAAAGTCGTCCTATCTTTTAAAAAATGAAGAACAAAAAAAGTCCACATTTTTGGCAGTCCTTGAACTACTCTTGTGCAGCGTGCCATTCTGTCAGAATAATTACCCAATTTGGTTGTGTCAGGCTGTGTTTACTGAAGTATTTATAGTGTGTAAAGTCATTTTTCACAGAATTGATGACACTTGTGAGCACTTGGAGACATACTGTACATGTAGATTCCAGGATTTAACATTTAAAAAAACAAAAAATAAAAAATGTAATCAAAGACATTCAACTTTTGATTTGTTTTTATGATTTATGGCATTTCTGACTTCTCTCTGCTTCTAGCCATGGTTGTGTTGCTTCCATAAAGCTGCTGGATTTTTATACTGCAGTAAAAAAAAAAAAAAAGAGCCCACAGTGAAGGAAAAAAATGTGACAGCAGCGAAAAATGCGTGGATGAATGTGTGGGTTTCAGAAGGTTGAAGTGCCTCTCAGATGAGACCAGATGAGGACATTTGTTGTCAGTTTCAAAAAGTCAAAGCAAAGTAACAGTGACCCCAAGAGGAAGCTCTTGTATCACCACCATAATCTACAATGAACGGTTCTGGAATGGACAAATTATGTATTTACAAAGACGTTAGAATGGTTTCAATTATAAAACATAAAAAAGATGCTGCTTGACTTGAAGTATCATAAACAATAAATCCAAAAGTAAAATGGCTTCATTAAGCATATAAACAGCTGCAATTTGGGTTTGAAAAACTCTCTCCCAGGTACTAACAATGCTCAGGTCTGAGTTTGTGTCATTTTGATGATAATTCCACCGTAGATGAAGTTCAGAAGCGATCTCTTTCTCACCTGGGGGACTCGTTCAGAGTGGGGATGTGGCAGGCCAGGTGGAAAACTTTGGGACACTTGTCGCAGCAGAGCAGCTCCCCTCCGTTCTGACAGACGGCGCACCAGTCCTCGTTAGGATCGTCTTCTGGCTCTGCCCTCTTTTCAGACTCTGGCTGCGATGGCGGCTGAGGACGCTGGTCTTTGGAGTCCGATGTCGGAGCTGGAGCTGGTGCGGGTCCCTTCTGCTGCTGCCGGGGCTTCGATTGAGTCCCAGTGCTGCTGTCGGGAAGGCTGGACCCGACGCTGGACTGCACCTGTAGGCAACACGGGATGTACGGAGTTAGATACGATGACTCACAGAAATGAAATGATAGAAATGTGAACACTGAGAGCTGATTGAGGAGGCAGTGTAGCCACTATCTAAATTCCAAGCAGTCCCATTTTTACTCACTGCAGGTTCTTTTTTTTTTTTTTTTAAGTGCTGCACCTCTATGGAGACAAAACAACCACAGCTAGAAATACAGAAACTCAAAAAGTCTTCTGTCTATGTCTATCTAAAGCTATGATCAGAAGAAAGAAAAAAACAAAAACTGAACTAATCTGACTACTTATTTTATAAAAAATGAAAAAAAAAATGCAATCGAAGTGTAAAACATTTGTCTATGTGGACACATGTGATCAATATGTGAAAACAAATGGTGATTCTATGTATTAGTGTGCCGTCATGCTTCTGTGGTGGATTCTGCAGCCTCTGTGTGGGGAAGACAGTTTGTGGAGGCTGAAGCTGATGAGAGACTCCAGATTCTCCCTGGCAGCGTTAGGGATGATTGCCCTGGAGCTCCAGAGGGCTTTACTATGAAGCAAGATAAGTGGGGAACGTGAATTTGGCCAAAAATTGAAGTGATATCCTGCTTTATGGGACAGTGTCCGACCTCAGTGCACTTCAATACAAGATCATGTTTTAATATATGAAGTTTAACAGCTCTAATGTGCAGCTGTCAGTTAGAAATAAACGGCTGGATTGATGGGAAAATAAATATATTGACGAATGTTCAACAGTTTTCTACCAGCATTCCTTTCAACGGTCATAAATGTTTTTATTCCTCATTGTTCTCCAACGCAACAACCTGCTGCACACGATCGTTTCATTTTGTGCAGAAGAAGAATCACATGATGCCTTCTTTTATGTGAGTGCACACAGAGTCAGAAAGGAAAGTTGAAAATGACCTTTGTGATCTCTGGCCGGAGCTTTTAGTTTTTGTCAAGCCAACTTACACAAAGAAAGCCTGGCTTTGTCAAACTTGCTTCATAGTGCACCCCTCAGACCTGTTCTCAGTCCTTGTTCTCCCCGCCTCCCGTCCACACCCCAGAACCCTCCTCCAACAAGACCCCAGCAATCCCTCAACCAAACTCAGCTGGGATTTAATGAGAACAGCTCAACCTGGTGCCTCTTGTCTTTGTGTTAAAATGTAACTTCTGTTGGCAGCTGTTGACTTTGTGAATAAGTTACTCGTGTCTTGTTTGTTGCTTTTGATTGTGGTAGATGTTGATTTAGTGTTAATATTAACTCTGGTAGCCTTCGTTTGGTCTTAATTGAACCTTATTCTGTCTGTTTCAAAAGTTTCCGGCTTTGATAAATAGTGAAATTTTGGCAGTTCTTTTAAGATAATATGCACATCAAGCCTGCTGACAGGTGTTGGGATTCAGAGGGATATTTTGGAAAAACGTTTTCTTCAATGATGGAGCCATTTAGAGATTAAACTTATGTCCTGTTATTTGACTAAATACTAGCAATGAATATTTTTTAAAAAGACAGAAATGTTAAGGGTATTTCTTGACACTTGGAAAAAAATGCCTGTCACGACAATCGAGAAGTTTTCAGATGTATTCTAAGTATTTCTCTTACAAAACGAACTTCATCCTCGTCCTCCGGTTCGTCCTTGATGACGATAACGGGTCCCGGGGACGACCTCCTTCTTCTTTTAGCTGTGGGGGCTGATGGCGGCTCTGAAGCCTGCTTCCAAGATGTCATCCTTCAACATGCAGATTGTGTCGCAGAGGAGAGGAGAAGATTGGGATTACAACATAGTTCATCACCTGATTGTCATGTGCTACATTTAACAAAAAACAGTGAAAATCAGAGACAATATCATAGCGTATGTATAAAAAATGAGGCTAAGAAGACGAAAACTGGGTAATAAGAACAATGTAAGAGTTGAAAGTTGTAGAAATTGATGGTTAAGGTAAACAAAATCATAGCTGTTTAAGTTCATGTTTCCAAAAATATGACAAACAGCCCAGTTTTTAATCCACGGCTCTTAATTGTACAGATCAGTGAGTTAACTTGTTGGTCAATGTGCTTCCATGTGACCAAATTCTTAATAGTCAGACAATCACTGGTGTTGCTTTTATGAGGAGAAAACCTCTACATCAGCAGTTTTTAGGGATGAATCCCTTATATTTGGCAGCAGGAGGACCAGACTACCTCTGAACAGCTCCGTATTTTCTCCATTTTGAATTCACCAAACCCAACAAAGACTAAATTTCATGTTTACTTAAACTTTACATTGAGTAACTGACACTATGTCACATTTGTGGCTGTATTTTGTTCATTCGGGCGGCCAAAAGGTCAACTTTGCAAGCAGTAGTTCACATATCACAGCTCAACAACCATATTAAAAACAGCAACTAACTTGTCTGTGTTATGCTCCTCAATAGTTCTTGTGATGGGATCACGAGTTGATAAAGTGCTGTTTTCAGAAATCCTAGAAATGTGGGCAGGTGGTCTGTTGTTATAGTGTCAGTATAAACGAATGTCAAAACAATTGTTATGCTACAAATATGAGCTTTTTTGGTTTATTTATAATACATTTAGGCTCATTAGGCTAGCAGGTTGAGTGCACTCAATGCACTGTGGCCGACTTAATTTACATAAATTAGACCAACTGTTGAGTTGAAACTACGATTTTAGTGAACCAAGACTTTCTCTATTTGACTACAACCCTACTTTCTTTATCGACATGTGCATGACCTCCCAGCAACAGTGAACAACACTGAAAAAGCTTGAAACATTTCAACAGGTTTCAGGATCCTCTCTCACCCCGTGCTTCTGTCTGAAGACGACGGTTTGGCCATCGGGGAGTTCTGTCTTCCTTGAACTTAAAAAATACAAGAAAAATAACATTTGAGGATCTGGAAGACAAGAGAAAAGCTGTCTTTTGATTTTCACACATGACAGGATGAATGAGAGCAGAGATAATGACCTGTTGCATGGTTGAGAGTGCTTGGTTTGTCTGCGGCTCCAGGGGCCAGACTCGGCGCGAAGCCCGGTTTGGGGACAGAGATGGTGATGGAGGGCAGAGGTCCGCTAGCTTCACTTCTCTTCAGGAAGGTCGACTCTGGCAGGCATCTCTGAAGGAAACAGAAATGAAACAGATCACAGTTAGGGCATCATCACAGCCAAATCCGTCAGAATTAAAACCTCTCTGGTCCTTCTTCTACCAACCTGATGTAGTGACGTCTGTGTGGCTGCTCCAGCAGTCAGAGGCTGAGGGTAGCGGGACGGACCCTGCGACACATCCATGGGTTTAGGAGGGAAGCCGGAGCTGTTGATCAGATCTCTCAGAGACTAGAAACAGAGAAAATATAACTTTAAAGAAGAAGAAAGTAGAGGAGTAAAACATTTACTTATTTCCATTTAACCATTTCTGCTGTAAAAACCTGAAACGATGCAATTCATTCTAGTAGATGAACTGACTTGATCCATCCTGGTGTTTGAGGAAAAAGATAATCAAACTTTATCAGAAGCATTTCATTCATTTTCTCATGAATGAAATCTCTGTGATAAGAAAAATGGAGACAAAGCCAGTGACAGGAACTTGACATTATCATAACTGTGAGCCGTCTCTCTTGTATCACTAATCCTCTGTGATAAGCGACATCTGCAAAACGTTCTGTGCGTTGAAGAATAAACAGCACGTTCTCCACAGAGCGATGCATTCAAACTCAATCTGTGTACCTGACGCCTGTACGACCAAGCAGGTTCAGCACGTCCACGGTCTCTTGTTGTTATCTGGTTTCACTAAACTCAACAACAAGCTGTTTGGGTCGGTCAACCCAGAGTTACTGAACCTGGATACGAGCGTGTTCACATGAAAGAGGCAGCAACAGATGACAGGACATGGACAGGTCTACGGACACCAAAGTGGCATATTTTACAAATGAAGAGCAAACTATAACATGAGAGAAATACAAAGACTGTAGACATTTGATATCAACTAAAAGCAGCTGCAGCAGCCAAAGCAGGAAGGAAAGCTACAAAAAAAGTTGACTTTTTAAGACCATAGTTAGCAGATGTGACTATAACTATAACTGTAGATTCTAGTAAATGGATGTGCTGCCTAGGTGTGTAAGACAGCTGTATTGTTTCAGCTGCAGCCCTGTCGCTGTTAAACGGTCCCTTGAGCAAGTAAAAAATTAGCATAATTCAAAATGCTAAGGAGGCTGACTGTCCTATTATGTTAACAGCTATAAAGTAAGTGTGTATGGCTTTCTTACAGGAAGAACAAACCGCAATCTTAAATTATTATGAGGAGTTAAAAATACAATACAGGCTAAAAACAGCACAACTGTTGTAGCCAGAGTCAGGAAGGAAAGCTGCAAAAAACTGTGACAATATCACTGCCTTGTCATGTGTAAGTTGCTTAAACGTAGGTTTCTCCTTTAAGATTCATTTTCATCACGCATCGCAAGCTGGTACAGCAAATTTACAGAGGCAGGCTCTTCATGCTACTCACTAAAAAGGCAAATTGTGAAAGAATACATGATTAAGTTTAACAAATAAATGATCACGAAACAAAAATGAAAACTTCCATGGTGATGTGAAGGATGAATTCAGTGATTCTCCCTCATTCTCATGGCGCGTAAAACATTTTTATTGTTGTTCTCTCAGCCGCTTGGCAGCGTTAAATGGTTTTGGAAATAAATATAACACATCATTCAAACAGATAAATATGCTTACCCCAAATGTTAAAAGATCAGGAAGTTGGCTACGAGGCTTAAGGGTTTGAATCAGTTTCTGTTTCAGGGTTAAATCATTGCACAAAGGCATCTAAAACATGTAAATAGCTTTGCGGTGGTTTGAAAAACTCTTACTCTCATTGCACTGATCGGTCAGGAGGTGTTGTTTTAATACATACTGATCTCTTATCTCAAACATAACCTGCTTGTGTTTAGCATTAGACGCCCAGTGAACCACCGCCGTCGCCCTTAAAGAGTTAAACCTCAAATCCTGACTTACCTGTGCAGCCTGGAAGCCCGTGTTGTGAAGCATGGACGACGTGGGGCTTCTTGGGTTGGGGTGGGAGCTCACGTATCTGCGTCCCGGCTGTGCCAAGTTGGGGGGGCCTTGTGAGGGTGAGGAGCCTCCGTGGATGGGTCTGGTTGGGGGCGGAGGGCCGGGAGGTCCTGGGAGTCGGACGTTTTGGTACCAGGACCAGTGGTTGGGAGGAGGCTGCCTGTGGGGCTGCTGGGAAAGCTTGTCAACCTTAGACAGAGGAACAGTTCAACGGCGTCAAATGTACTTTCTTAACTTTCTATGTCATTAACCACTTATCCATTCCCTCATCTTTATTCTTACAAAAGGCAAATGGACGTATTACAGCACTGAAATGATAGACTGAATAAAAAAATACCTGCATCTGGAGCTGAGCCAGCGTGCTTTGTCGCTGCTGTGCCGAGACTGAGAGAGCTCCTGGAGGTGCTTCTGCTCTGGGACCAGCCTGGTGATTGGTGATGGGCGGCCTCCCTGGACCTCTTTCTACCACCAGAGAGCCTGCAAGAAAATAAAAATTAACTTCCAACTGTACCTCTGTCCTCTGGTTAACATTTCTGTTGGATTGCCAACTTGAACAGCACATTAAAAAAAGGTTAAAAATCTAGACGTAGAAGTGACAAAAACACATTTTGAGTGGAAGCAGGATTCAAGTTCTAAGTATTGGTTTACGAGAAACTGCTGTAAAAGTTTTGTAAGCAAAGCACAAATCAAAAACTATTCAAGCAGCGACAGCAAAGTGTTTGTGATAACGAGCAGGAGATTGTGTAAATTGAAAACATTTAGGCCAGATGAGATTAATGCACTGAAAGACATAAAAGCAGAAACAATACGTCTTGTGTACTAGATTCCAGAACACGCTGACAACTAGAGATACAATAGAAGTATGGGAAAATCTTCAAGTGGTGTTATCAGATATGAGTGTATAGTCGTGACCCTTAACAATCCTAAACCTTGCTATCCGACAGGTGTTTAGGAAAAACGAACAGAACCCATTAAAAACAGCCTTAACATACCGACTGCCTTGGATTCTGACTCCGACATGACATTTTACGTCACCAATCAGGATAATGGCGTATTATCTGACTGAACAATCCGACAGATTGGCTACGTTCACACTGCAGGACTTAATGCTCAATTCAGATTTTTTTGTGAAATCCGACTTTTTGCGAGTTCATTCACATTTCCAATTAAATGCGACTTGTATGTGATCTGCTGTGTGAACTTCATACGACCCAAAAGTGTCTCGCATGTAGAAGAGGACACAACGACGTCACATGCCGCGAGCGTGCTCAGTGTTTACGGAAGTAAACACGGATGGTGGTGGTGGTGGCGCTGATGGTGGAAACAGAAGTGTGACCGCTATCCTAAACGAGCATCAGCAGCCAAGTACTGCCTGTGCAATTTGGCCACTTCCACCCCTTTGGAGCACTCCCTCAGGGTGGAAGTGTCCTCCCGACCATGCCGAATATTTGGATATTCATCATCAATGAGCCTTCAAGCATCAAGCCCTCCTTGTATCTCGGCCTCCATCTTGAGAATCCGACAGCCTTGCTATCCGACATAAAAGAAGGTTTTACACTTATTGTCTCATTATCGAGTCACGACTGTACTTAAGATTAAATTAAGAGAGGCAGAGACTTATACGGGAGAAAGTGGGACAATGTTCAATGAGGACAGATGGTCAGGAAACACACCCCTGGGCAAAAACACACAGTGACTAACAAAGAAAACGACAGTCAGACGTGCTCAGTGTTCACTGCCTGCAAACCACAAAACACACAGAGTCCTTTTTCTAACTGCGCTTTCTGTTTCACCCATTTTATCTCCTGTGTTTCCACCTCTTATGCATCGTCTGACTGTTCAGCAAGATGTGGCTACAGATCTTTGAGATGTACTTGAAGCAGGGGCTGTTACAATATCAGATTTTCCCTTCACCCTCACCGTGGCCAGAACCGTTCATAGCTACACTATCATAATAGAAGATTTGAAAAGAAAACGGTAAATGATCTGCACTTATGCAGCACTTTTCTACCTGAGTGGTACTCAAAGTGTTTCTCATTCACCCATTCACACACAGTGTCTTGCCCAAGGACACTTTGACTGTGGAGGGGCGGGAGATCGTCCCGCCAACTTTGCGATTAGAGGGCAACCCCAGTTAAAGTTCCACCCATCAAATTTCTGTTTAACTTTGTGTATTTTATCTCCTTGGCAAATGAATTGCGCTCAAAGTATGAGTGAAAGGACGTAGAGGGACAATCTGTAACAACAGTACGATACTTTAATACTATATGTGAAGATCAACCATTTTTGTAGAGTGTTGTAACAAGGAGTGCAAATTTTTTTTGCCTTTTTTTTTTTTAAATGTACTTTATATGTACTTAAAGCAAATTGTTCCTTTTTTTTCCAGTGAACCTACACGTCACAGTTAAGTAGTTGAAGAACTGTAAGAAAGTTGAATATTTGTTGATTATTTCTATTTTTACAGTGTTTAATTAAGACAACCTGACTTTCCAAATCTGCTGTCGGGTTTCGGGGTTCCGAGTGTTACCAGTAGCCTTCCAGTAGTAGATGCTAATGCTAACGTGTTGATGCAAACGTTGCTATGATGTTGCAGGGATAGTTTCCTGCTTCCCTATCCCGACCAGAGCCATGATTGTGCTTTCTATTTAACTTGCACTCACGTTTTCATTACTTAGTCACTCTGTAGAGCTGTGCGGTGCAAACATTTTATCATTTAGACTTTGTAACTGACTTTGCATTTTATTTTTTAGCTTATACTCACAAACAGCACCAATAAATAAATTATAAAGTATAAGGTAAGAAAAACATTCAGAGCAAATGCATGCATGCATGTAGTTTCCAGTTCTTCCTGCAGATGATGTTTTGGGGTTGTTTTTAAGACACACTGAGCCTTTTACAAATCAGTAGGAAACATGTGTTAATCTACAATCAGTATTCATTGCTGGTTGACACATTGGGTACTTCTCAGGTGATGACAGTCTTACCGAGGTCGACGTTTGTGGCCCAAAACCCAGAACGACACTGGAAGCGAACAGAGCTCTGAGGGACGATGGAGGGGTTGCAGCTCGCTCTCATCAGGTAATGGATCTGGTACAGGATCTAGGAGATAAAAAATTATTTTAAAGTCACTGAAGACATGAAAGTATTGTAGGATTAAATACCTGGAGAAAATGTTTTTTGTATTACATGTAACAACTACACTTTACAGTACACATCTAAGTCACACACCAGTCTCTTGCAGTACAGGAGAGCTGTTCCACTGTGGCTGGCTGTGGCCCATTTGGTGAAGCTGATGACGTGATCTAGGTGCCTGCTCAGAGAGTTGACGTCCTCCTGCTGCTTTTTTAAACCCATTTCATGGTCCTTCGTTAAAGCCTAGAAGTAAATGTGATCAGCGAAAGTCAGAAAAGGAATCCTAAAGGTACCAAATGCATTTGAACAGTCCTTAAACTCACAGATTAAACTTACCTCGAGCTGATTAACGAGAATCTTTCCCTTCCTGTTGATCTCCATGATCAAGTTGCAGATGGACTTCTTTATTTCATTGGTTACAGCCTTTCGATTTTCTTCAACTTGCTGCAGTCTGTGGAAGTCAGTGACAGAAAACTAAATGTATATCATGCTTTACATTAATCTGGATTCAGTTTCAACATTCAAAGGGTTTTACATTTTTGAAAATTTAAAGTCCTGAATACATCCATCCATCCATCCAATCACCAATTAACCTCAACATGTTTTTGGACTGTGTGGGAGGAAGCTGGAGAACCCGGACAGAACCCACGCTGCACAGAGAGAACATGTAAACTCCACGCAGAAAGATCTCGGGTGTCCTCACCAGGATGCGAACCGGCGACCTTCTTGCTGCGAGGCAACGATGCTAACCACCGAGCCACCTTGCAGCCCGTCCCGAATACATAAAACTCTCATTTTCCTCTTGAACCAACGGGTCAACATTTTGTTGTTTATTGTTCACTAAACACTATTTATATCGGAAATTCAAATAAAACCGACACTCTGCTGAGGAGGATAACTTTACCCAGTGTTGATGCAGTTGGATACGTCCTCGATGGCCTTTCTTTTCTCTTGCAGCTGCTGCGTCATGTTCTCCAGATATTGCCGATGATTTCTGTAAGCATCCTCCAAAAACTGGTAGCTGGACACAAAGAATATCAATCATTAATGAGAGCAAACAAACGCTTAATATCGTCTCAAACACCACTACTCCTGTTTGTAGCAACTCTTTAAATTAAGATACATCATCATCATTTTCTGAAGAGAAACTGTAACACATAGAATATCCTCAAGCATCACATCACAGAAAAATCCATCAGCAGCAGGTTTGCTAAATCATCAACAACACCAGAACTAGCTGCACCACTGTTGTCAGATGTAAAGCACCACACTCCCATTTACAGAACATCTACAGAAGAATATACAATTCTCAGTGTAGGACAAAGAGTGTCTGCGTACTTGTGATCCTTGTGTTTAAGGAGCTGACAGTCTCGACAGGTGAGTCGGTCGCACGTCTCGCAGAACAGCTTCAGTGGCTCCTGCTTGTGGATGTCACAAAAGACGGGCTTCTGCGTGGATATTCCTAACGCTTCTGTCATGCAGACAAGTGGGACGTTTGAAAAACAAGAAAGTCAGCTTATGTCACCTTAAACAACTCTGGTAGACACTTCTTGGCAATCCAATCCAGACAGACAGCTTCTAGCCCAGAGTAACAAGAGAACAGAACTCTGCCAAGCATTTTACTTACTGTTGCATTTACAGAATCTGGAAATATGTAACTTTTTTGCACTCTTTCCTTTTACGCAACAACCTGTGCATATGCCTACATACAACAGCACCTTGCATGTAATACTAGCAGAGGTGGGAAGTAACAAAGTACAAATACTTTGATACTGTGCTTAAGTAGATTCTGCAGGTATCTGTACTTTACTTGAGTATTAATTTTTCTGACGACTTTTTACTATTACTCCCTACATTTGAACACGAATATCTGTACTTTATACGCCATAAATTCTCTAAACTGGCTCGTTACTGGTTTCACCCTCCGCAGATGACGACATGATGTAAAAGACGGAACAACAAACGTCTTTATCTTTACCAACAGTGTGCAACTTGTCACTGAATCTCAACAAACCCCTGCCTGCCTCAGCTGCCTGTCAGAGGCTTTTTAGGACTGATTTTCAGACCCAAAAGGGCACGTCTTCATCCAAAGAACTTTGAGAACCAGCTTCTGCTGAGGCTCAAACAAAGATTTTGGTAGACTTCAAGAGACGAGTGTTTCCATGTTGATTATAATGTTTAATGCTCATAATGTTGCTGAAATGGAAACTATCCAGTGATGCTTTCTCTGTACAGCACTGTGCAGGTTCTTAAAGGATGAAAACAATCCTATTTTGTGTGCTAACAACTTTTTTCGTTTTGCTGAGTTATCAAAAGAGGCATCGTGTATCATCGAATCTAAAAATTCATTTTTACTTTTGTACTGAAGTAAATTTCTGAACCTGTACTTTTTTGCTTTTACTTGAGTAAGGGAGTTGAATCAGTACTTTTACTTTTACCAGAGTCTATTTTTAGTATCTCTACTTCGACTTAAGTAAAGAATGTGACTACCTTTGCCATCTCTGAATACTAGGAACTTCAGTAGAAAGTACACAGACATATGAACCTTGTAAGTACTTCTTGCGCTACTATAACCCACTAAATTTTTGTTCATGTCCAGCGAGGTGCAACATTAGTTACACTACTTTTTTATGAATTACCTTATTTAACCAAAACAGCTATCTCTAAAACAGTAAGTTTTATCACTGTTTATTTATTTGTACATTTCTTACTGTACTGAACTGTTGTCTTATCGTGTTGCTGCACTCACAAGATTGCTGTTTTTGTTTTTCTAAGCTCCTTAAAATGTCCAAACCATCACTGTCAAGACTGACATCTTGACAGAACAGATTGGCGGCAATATTGGCAGGTAGAGAAACACTTAGAAGTAACAGCTGCTAGCATCTTTTTTTTTTAAACAACTGCAGTGGTTCCTTGCCTCTTTTAACAAGTTGAACAACTTTAACTGCCAAGTGTGTACTTCTTCAGCCTGTGATTAATTCTTCTGCTCTGTTATTGGCGTTTAACCAACGCACCGTGTAGCCTGCAGTCAAAGACTACATTATGTGGTTTGCTCAATTGTTGTATTTTAATAAATGACAGTGCGGTTTAACTACGGTATCATTAACCAAAGCACACTGTTAAACAAACTCTAGTGTAATTACAGGAAAACACACACTACCTGGCGACATCTCCTCCTTCTGACGTATGGTGTGGTCTCTGGTGAACTTGACCCTTTGGTGCGCCTCGATGCACGTCACGCACAGGAACTCCACACACTCCACACAGTAGCCCGTCGCCTCCGTGTTGTCGTCACAGCTCATGCACACCTGTTAGGGCCAAAAGGAGAGTCAGTAAATGAAAAATCATTGCGGCTGTAGTTGCATGAAAGCGGCGCCAGAAAAGCAAAGCGAGTGTTGTAAAAAGAATAGCTCAGGATATTCAGGTGATAACCAACCTGGCTGGTTTTCTCCACAGTGCTGCTCGGCACCTCAGCGGAGTCCTTGACAAAGAAATTGTCCAACACGTCCATCTCCCAGCATTCCTGTCTGCATACTGGACATCGAATAGCACCTACTGGAGCAAGACGCAAGATCCATTACTGAGGGCATCAGCTGATAACCAGTTATATGACTTTATGCGCTCCATAAACACAGACAGCTGAGTGACACAATTCTATTACACTTATATTAAACTGATCATCAAGGCTGCCTTTTGATTGAGGTTTTTTTTTTTACTGTTTCAGAAATGCTTGATAAATTCAGAGTGAAATCAAAAGCTTGAAACTGCAGCGGTGACTCAGTCTGTTTACTGGGGTAACTCTACTCTTCAGCCCCTTTCAGACTCCTTTCAGTTAATTGACAGTATCTGAACATGTTGGCTTCTAGTCTCAACGAGCATCCCGGTCACTTTTCTGTGAAGGTCGCAACAGTAATCTTACTTGGTCGGATCCACCAGTGATCCATCCATCCATCATCTATACACCGCTTAATCCTCACTAGGGTCATGGGGGGCTGGAGTCTATCCCAGCTGACTCAGAGTGAAGGCAGGGGACACCCTGGACAGGTCACCAGTCTATCACAGGGCTACATTTAGAGACAGACAACCAAGCACACTCACATTCACACCTACGGACAATTTAGAATCACCAATTAACCTCAACATGTTTTTGGACCTTGTGGGAGGAAGCTGGAGAACCTGGAGAGAACACACGCTGCTCGGGGGAGAACATACAAACTCCACGCAGAAAGATCCTGGGTGTCACCGAGATGGAAACCTTCTTGTTGCAAGGCCACAGTGCCACCAACTGTGCCACGTTGCAGCCCTCCACCAGTGATGTAGCTCATATTTTGTGAACAATTTGAGGAAGGCTTTTTCCACATTTCAGTACCAAAGCTGGTCCAAAAACATCACAGACAGCGCAAAAGATTTTGTGTACCAAAATCACAAAACACCGTTCTCATTTGCCGTGTTGTACAATTTCACATCTACTACAACCTCAAAATACATAAACACAAAACTTTACTGCGATGAAGACAGAACAGGCCAGATTAATGAAACTAAGTGACAATGAATGTAATCCAGGTTTTGACAAAACATTAACAGGAGCTGAAGTTCAATTTGTTGCTTCCAGCTGTTTGTCAGAATCTTTTCTCTGAGTTCATTAAATACTTGCATATCTGTTTGATTACCATCACAGATGAACAGAATTTATAAATTTAAGGAAATCATAATAAACTAGGCTGCTAGTTGTTTGGACAGCTGCATGTGTACCATGGCTCTCTCCATCACTGGGGTGGGTTTGTCTACATGAAGCTGTAACGAACTTTAACGTTAGAGCGACCTAGTGTCTGAATGACAGAATGCCAGCACTTTAACAGATTCATGAAGAAAAGGGCAACGTAAAACCTGCTCCTGCTGAAAGAAACAAACAATAAAACCCTTTTTTTTTCTTTTGTCAGCATATCCACATTACTAAAGATTTGCTCACAGTGTAACAAGTGTCTGGCGGCAAAAGGGTAGATTTCTCTTTTTGGTTCTTGGAGACATTTGACCTCTTATTAAAAAGGCTTCTTCAGTTTTAACTGACTAAAGGAAGTCACATACATATAAGTATACATCAATCTAGAATCACAAGGCTCGTGGTCCATTCATAACCAAAGACTTACATGTCTCAAGGAGCGAATGATTGTAAAACTGTCTGGTAACGGATAACTTTAAGTGTTTAAACTTTCTGGGGAGGTATCTCAACACTGCATTCTAAGTGTCTTCCAAGTGATGTTGTAGACCCTGTCCTCTGTTTAAAGATGGCTGTCCCAGTTTAACTCCCTTCACTCCTCTCTCAAACCATCTGTGTTTTCTGTCTGGAATGTGAACACTGTTCTCATCAAAGGAGCGTTGATGTTCTTTCAGATGGGCTGTTACATCGTGTCCTGATGAGCTTGTTCACCTGTGTTGTGCTTTGTCTTCCGTGTATATATAGGTATGTGTACTCCTCGCTGGATTGAATTACATAAACAATGTTGCTGAGCTTGTCTATGGGTGTTTCATCTTTAAGGTGAACCAGTTTTTTGCCTCTGGGTGCTTGGCATGTCTTATATGCACTGGGATAGTCAAACTGATAAACCCCCAGTTTATGTTCCAGTGAGCGGTGGGACAGAAAAGACGGTTTGAACAACAGGGACTGAAGGAAGCCATCTATGTCAAACTGGAACAGCCATCTCTAAACAGACCACATACGAGGTACTTATAATGCAGTCTTGAGATCTTGTATGATTTAGGTTTGACAATATGAATGTGGGACTCATCATCAGCCAGTTAGAAGCGAAGAGGCCACTTGGATGATACACAATCAAACTGATAAACCTCTAGTTAATGTTCCAGTTGGTGAGGGAACAGAGAAGACTGATGGTTTGAGAAAGGAGTAAAGGAAGTGCATCTATGATTTACTGGAGCAGCCATCTCCAAACAGACCACTTATCAGGGAATTATAATGCAGCCTTGCATGTGATGTAGGGGTGGAAATATACATGTGGGACTCCCCATCATCCAGTTAGAAGTGAAGGAGCCACTTGGATGAGAGGTGAAATGCCTTCAAGAACCAAAAAGGGGAAGGCAGATTGTTTTTTACTAAAGCTCGTAGAATCACCTTGACCGGGATGAGTGAGAATCCACATGTTCAAAACTGGAAAACTTGGATATTTTCAAGGTAAAATAACCAGCAACTTTCTAAGCAATCTCCATGTGGGTAAATACACTTTTCTTACATGGTTTGTTGCTGTCAACTTGACCCTGCGAGTCCCGCCTCGGGTCGGCGCTCCTGAAGGGGGCAGGCAGACACCTCTTGCAGAAGGAGTGGAGACACGGCAGCAGCTTGGGCTCCCTGTTGTGGAAGCTCAACTTGCAGATGGGACAAGTGTCCATGAGCCCGAAGGTGCCTTGCTGCTTCAGCCTCTCTTCTCCTGCCGGCAAACTTTCCGCCTCGTTTTCCACGATAATAACAATGTCGTCGTTGTCAACATTCTCGCCACTTTCATCCATCTTTTCTCTCCTCTCTGCTGCTTCGCGATCTTTCCAGTCAGCCAATCAATAAAACTAGCGCTGCGGCTGCAAACAATGGCTAGCTTATAATATTTCTCACTTATTTAAGATAAATATTACACATATCAGTTTTTAAGACATGGTCTGTTCCTTTAACAGGCTGCTTTATAACCGCTAATATAACAGCAGCTTTAGTAAAGTGTATTTCTCTCCGTTAGGAAAGCTAAATTAGCATCGTAGCCGCTTTTAATTGCACATATTCTAAACACAATAAATGGTTCATTCCCCGGTTTGTGGCGTTTCTTATTAAAACAGGCGAAATATAAAAGCGCACAGTCAAGTATGAATAAAAATTAGGCTACACACATAGTGTTTTGAAGCTCATTCGTCCATAGGGAAAGGCGACCATCTGTGCTTTCTTCGCTCAAAACACAAACCATTTATTACCCAGACTGCACTGCGGTATTTCCAGAGCTACGGCGGCCGGTGGGGGACAAACCATACACCGCCGCTAAACAAAAAACATAAAAACAATTTCGCAATTCACATTTTTCTTGTGTGGTTTGATTTACACAATGCACTATGGGAGCTGAAGTGAAAATATGAACTAAATCATATACAAATTGTACATATTATTCTCAAAAAGCATGGCACAGCATCTCATTATTACCTATGAATAGCTGAGATACAGTTTTATCTCTCTCTCAGTTTGCTTGATAAACTGCTTTTCCCATCAGGGAGGTGGAGTCTTATGGTCCGTGGTCAAAGAGCAGCAGTCACAAGCCTGGATAAGCTTGTGTTTAATTGCACAGACTTTGGCTTGCAGCACTGGCAAAGACTGCCTTTCCACAGCACACAATTTCACCAACATGGAACTGACTGCAGAGAATCACTCCATTCCCCTGAGTGATGGCAACAGCATACCTCTGATAGGACTGGGAACATATGGGAATCCCTCCACGGTAAGGGCACATTATTTGCGCAAGATTGCACAAGATTGAAATGTTGCACAAGATTTAAACTGCTCACGCTGTAACTCTGAGATATTTTTCTGAGAAAGGCCGTTCGTTTTTTGTTTGACAGACTCCAAAAGGAACTACATGTGAATCAGTCAAAGTGGCTATCGAGAAAGGGTACAGGCACATTGATGGGGCTTTGGTTTATTTTAATGAACATGAAGTGGGACAAGCAATAAGGGAAAAAATAGCTGATGGAACGGTGAAGAGAGAGGACATCTTCTACTGCGGAAAGGTTTGCAAAGTTTGCTGAGTCGGAATGTTGACAATCGAACTTCTCTCCAGAACAAACACGGTTGTGATATCCAACATTTTTGTACCCTGTGCTCATCCCGTTGCAGCTGTGGAACACATTTCATCCCCCAGAGCTTGTCCGGCCTGCTTTGGAGAAAACCCTACAGACCCTGCAGCTGGATTACGTTGACCTCTATATTGTGGAGTTGCCCACAGCCTTCAAGGTATTTACAATAAACAGCATGACCTTTCTAAAATATATTTTTTAGGTTTGAATTACTGACAAAGTTATTTCCCCTCATGAAGTATAACAAAAATACGGTTATTTTCTGAAGCCGGGAGATACATTCTACCCCAGAGATGAGAATGGGAAGTACCTTTACCATGAAACGGACCTCTGCGCTACATGGGAGGTGAGATTTTTGGACATTTTCATCCTCAGAAACGAAAGTTGAATTGATTTGTTCACTGAAATATAGACTATATTGTTACAACTAACTAAATATTGATGAGATGTTGAAGAAAAGTCAACATTCACAACCATACCGCAGCTCTGGATTTTATGCTGCCTACACCACAGTGTTAATGTATAGATAGTCAAAGTGATAAAACCTTTGACGGGTCAACAAACTTTTGTCACTATCTTACTGTTTAACTTTGTCTAAAGTTCAAAGTTTACTGTTGCTTTTTACCTGTGCTCCTCTGACATCCTGAACAGGCTCTGGAAGCCTGCAAAGACGCCGGGCTGGTAAAGTCTCTTGGAGTTTCCAACTTCAACAAGCGGCAGCTGGAGTTAATCCTTAACAAACCCGGACTGAAACACAGACCTGTGTCGAACCAGGTATGAACGCATGAAAGATACGCATGAAAGATACGCATGAAAGATGCAAGAATATGATGAAGATAAGCGAGAGGCTTTTGGTTAATGTTAGTTTCAATTGGGTTAAAGAGTAGCCCAACTCCATTGGTGGTTAATGTGACCTGGGTTGGTATGCACAAAATAAACTTCACATAGGACATTTCTACTTGGAGTTAAATTACATTTGTACATTTTGCATTTTAGATTTTCTT